ATATTTTTGGAGCAAAAATTACTGGTGAACATTGTCGGTTAATTTTCGAGGCAATATTATGAAAACGCAAACTTCGACTTTATTCCTGAAGATTGTCTTCATCAAGACCAACACAATTATTCTATGGTAGAGTTTCTCTAACATTTTAATACTTTACTTGTAGAAAGATTTATATTTAGCCTACAAACAAGAAGCTGTTTCAGCGATGACCTTTTTATGTGAGCTGAATCTCTTTACTTGGAACATTTTTTTAAGGTTAAAGAATAGTTGCTTGGTTCAAGTCTGACATATATGAACCAGTTACCTAAGACACAGGGCATTGTTTTGATAAAACAGCATTATTTTCTTTTTCCAGTGAGGCTATTTTTTGGTGATCTCGTACTGAAAACGCACTATTAGCTTTATATAATATTCGCTATTGGTAGTTTTTTTAAGCTAGTTGATGAATATAAACTATGCCCAGTCCAAAATACTGCTGCCGAAAACTTACCAGCTGATTATTGGGCGGCTTTTACCAGATGATCTGCACTTAGCTGATTGTTGTGTTGACTTCAGAGTGAAGTAGTGGTTGTATCAAGTGTCACGTATTGACGTTATTTTGTTTAAGTAGCTGTCTAAATCGTCGTTGTTGTTAACTGTTAGTTAGTAACAAATGCGTACTCCTTTCGAAAGCAACTTTTTTATGGACAAGTTTTTATATAAAATAAATCCAGCATGTTCTTTGATATATCTAGGGTGGCAATTATATTCTGCAAATTAAGTTAACGGTTTTACAATTTTATTGAACTAGTTTGATGTTTTCCGGTGCAACTGTTTAATTGAGCGATATGAGTGGGACACTTTTTTTTCTATATATAAGGTTTTTTGTCACATAACACTAGTATGTGCCACCACTACATATTTTTAACGAATCCTCTACGTTTATATTATCCTAAGACATAGTGCTTGTAGTTTGCTTACAACTATGCATTGATTTAGGAGATTGAACAGATCTTCTTTCTGTCCAATATTATTAAAAGAGAATGTTGAATCGTTGAGTTCGTCTACATCTTTTTTTACTTACTTATTGTAGTCGTCTTCTTCTTGTAAAGCATAAGTCTATATCTTTAATTTCATTAAAAACTCAAGGTAACCATTTATGATTCTTAAAAGTTTGTTATGAAATGAATCTAAGTATTTACTTAAAATTAAATTAAGGTGTAGTAATCAATTTAATCTTAACTTTTCTATAACTAAGGTATGAAAGTTGGTTTTGTACGAAGATGTAATTCGTTATCACTAGAAGTAGATCCTATTAACTTATTCCTCCTCAATAATATTACTCGTCCGTATTTTCTAGGAATCATGTTTTTCGAAATTCGTGGTAAATATGGCAATAT